ACCTTCGGCTTGCGCAAAAAGATTTAACTGATTTGAGTGATGATGCCGTGTTGAGCACTTTTCAGAAGTGCTAAACTAATGCCAGAGCCTCTTGGCAGAAGAGCTTTCTCGGTCTTGAGCTGGTTGGGCCTTTCATGAAGGATTCACACAATCTTAGATAATTCTCACAGAACCGTATGCACCGTGTTTATCCCAGCATTTGATCGTGAATCTAAATACCTTCTGAGATCTTCCCTCAAGGTATGACCTTGCAGGGTAGTACCTTCGATCTCCTTCGATAGCGCCAGCGGCGGCCGTTGTGTAGCTCAACGAGGTAGACGGACCCCCTTTCGTTCTGACCCCCTCAGTTCGGTTCAGGCCGACCAGTCTGCGGAGCGATGTGGAGCCTGAAGTCGACGATGTGAGCCTGAAGCGCCTGAAATCGGTCAGAGGCTTGCTGTTCCAAGCTGATGTGAGCTTTGTTGCAGAATGCTTTGAGAAGCACAAGTGTCTTCGGTCAGTACGTGGACGTACCCAGGGCGCCGGTCTGTGGATCTGACCTACTCAGTGCACCAAATGAGGCAGTCTGAGCTCAGCTGACTCGGTCTCTCAAACCATCAGTTCACAGCTGGTAGCATGTTGCTGTCAGAGGGAAGAGATCCAAAAAACCGCTTGAAGAGACCAAGACTGCTCAAGATGCAACTGTGCTGTCCCTTTTTTAAAAGCTTTTCTCAGTTAAGTGCAAGGTTGTAGAATTGAGATCTAGCCAGAGGGGCATGCATCTCTTTTGAGACAATGTGACTGTTGTCGCTGCCTGTTTGTACTGAGGCAGGCCTCGATTACCTGCGCTTTAAGGGGTGGATTTCTTTAAATCAATGCCAGAGGTCCTTACATCTCGGTGCTATACATTAAAATGTCCAAATTCCAAATGCCATGGCTATACGTGTAAACCATTGTTTTCGACTGAATCTTCTGGAACTGAAGCGGCTTCTTTGCTCACCTTGAAGACGGTCGGACTGTCGAGCTATTGTTGTGGTCCGGCACCAATACCTGCTGGTTTTGTCTTGGTTTGCTGCATGCTCGGGCTGTTTGAAACCCAACTGTTGCGCATACGCAGATCTGTTGTGATCCGTTGGCTGCGACGGGTTGAGACAGGGAAGGACACCCCGCCACCTCCATCATACCTTGGTTACAAGAGCACTCGCCACGGCGTTGTTTCCTTGAAAACCGCAGCTTCGACCCAAGTCAGCTACTTGGGTCAGTCACGTGATGGCTTCGTGGTGGCTCATGGTCGCACGGCTGAGCTAGGCGCTGATGGGTGGAAGACATTCGACATGACGCTGGCTTAATGGTTGCGTTCCATTTATTAGGTGGCAGCGGTGTTTGCGTTCCTTTTATGTTTTGTCACAGAAGAAAAAGTCTGGACTTCATTCGTAGACGGTGTGCAAACGCCCCAAAAGCACAGCTGGGTAAAAGTATGAACGCCCAAAGCTGAGTACTTCATCCCGGAGTAGGAGGTGCGCGATCGGAGGGACATGTTAGAACGGCGGCTGGTCTCATATAGAAGCGATGGCCTCCAACCTAATAGCAATAGCCTCCAACCTACAAGCAAAGGCATCCAACCTAATAGCAATAGCCTCCAACCTAATAGCAATAGCCTCCAACCTAATAGCGATGGCCTCCAACCTAATAGCGATGGCCTCCAGCCTAATAGCGATTTGGTGAAAACACGAGCAAAATTCGCTAATCACGTATCCACAAGAGGCGGATAAGACATCGTGTGTGTCCCCCCCCTGGCTTCTAGGCCTTCTTGCGACCTTTGTGGAAGGTACATACAATGTAAAAAGTCGTGAGACTGAAGTGTGAAAAGTGCTCAGATAGAGTGCCGAGAGATCCTGTAATTGCCGGTTGGGTCACAAGACATGCAGAGAAGGACTTGATTTCACAAGAACTCCGGGAAAAAACCGGGTCTTCTGTTCAAGCCTGTTTGTTCCGCACCCCGGCCCCGAATACCGGGCTTGTTGTCGTGGGTGTCTTTTTCACGACCAGAAGACGCCGGAGAAGCGATCCGTGGGGGTCGGCTGAAGGTTTTGCGGTCCGGAGTGCTGAAGTTGGGGAAGAGAGTGGCACCACCTTCCTAGTCGTCACGCACACTCCAACAGGACCCGAAGTTGGCTGCCTCGCATGGTGGCCTTGGGGCGACGCTGCATCGGTGGAATGGGTGATGAAGATTGAGACTGGAATATACTACATTGAGTCCTGAAACCAGCCCATAGGTACCTGGAATCCCTGTTCATACCACGGAAAATGGGTACTCTCAGTACATGCAGTACCTTTTTTTGGAGTCATGTCCCATTTAATGGGAGGGTCCAGGTAAATATGCCATACATCCTCAATCATGCATGTCGTGAGCAAGATTGCAAATCGCCGAATGCGTTTGATCAGAGACCGTTTGCTAGGACTGAGAGCCAATGCCTGGCCGGGTCAAGTCAGTTTGTGGATGAGCTCTCTGGGTGAGTGACGCTTCTTTGGTCCTTGCAGTCTGTCTTCCCCAAGATTCTGGTGCCAGACATTGACATCACTGATGCATTCTGCCCCAGACCATGCATGTGTGGAACAGTTACATTCCAGCAGTCACAAACGGGTGCTAAATGGAGGTTATGGGTGCCCACTATCCACTCACTTAGGGACTAAACACCACCCCTTTGTGACTCCTGGTTTGCATTTTCCCTGTTATATTCCCAATGGAGGCTTTATTCAGCAGTGCGCAGCTCATTACAGCTCATCCCGCGTGGAACGGGAGTTGTGGCGAAACGAGCCATAGCCCAGATGCCCAGATGCCGTGGGTTCAGGCAACGCGACATGTTCCAAGAGTTCGTGTCACCCATCAGCCTGTGTGTAGGAGGGGTAAGCAGTAGACGTAGATAGTGAAGACACCTTGAAGTCAGGCAGGTTGCTCATGGTTCATAAGAACCATTCATGGTTAACCATCTTTCCGTGCCCCTCTCTCGAAATCACCCATTTCAATAGTGCTTCAACTAGAAGTATACTTCAGGTAGAGGAAAGTATTGGAAGTGTTTCTATAGTATTGATTGGTGCATGACCCCGTCTTACTTCAGGTTCTGTCGGTGCTCCAGTCTCCTGTGTTGCAGCCAGTCGTTCTTCTGTTCTATCCCCAAATCGGACAACTGGGCTTTGAAGGACAGCCATAATTGACGGTCAGAATTTGCAAGAGGTCACCGTGTTGACTCTTCAGTGGAAATGCCATGTAGCTAAATCTGTTAGACGCAGATTGATGAGGCATCATCGTTGCTTCACCCTTGGCTGCTCCCAGCTTTTGTGGCCAGCCCTTTTTTCTGGCAGTGCGGCACCTGACCGTGATTCTTTTTGTTGAACGTCCTTTCAAGCTAAATCATGCCTTAGGCTGTTGGAGACCACAGTGGTCGCTTCGCGCTGCTATGCCGTGTGAGGGTCACAGAAGCTGCCGTGCGAAGCGTCGGAAATAAGTTAAATCATGTCAAATTCAATGGTGTGATGCGCAGGTGATCCGTAGATGGCCTTGTGCTCAACCTCTTTGACAATCAGACCTGTGTGACCAAGCATATCACATCTACCAAGCAACTTCAGACTGGTTGGTTTATTCAACATTTGGCCCTAGGGATGCAGGTACCTCCTTAATTGGAAGGTGTTCGGACCCTCACGTTGCCCGCAGAAAATTTTATCTAATCTCCCTCTCAGAGGGTTGGCAGTGGATCCATAAGTTAAAAAGAGGGCGATTGGCAACTTGGAATTTGCCCAATGTGAGACTTGTAAGAAGGTCCCATGGCTGGAGAACTCTGCGGTTGATCCAGCTGTGTGCTTCAAAAATGGGTAGCAGTCCCGGTGTGGGGCCTCCGGTGTATCCCGATGAACCAGGCGCTGGATATAACATCTTACCTGAATAGGCTGCGTGCAGAATTGGGAGTGCTTTAGCTTAGTACGTGGATGGTGCAACAAGAGCCAACATCGGAAGCTTTGCGAAGTCGCCAAGTGGGCCCATTGAGACGGATGCGAAGATTCAGGAGCTTCAGCGGTAGAACTCGTTTGCTTCTTTGAAATGCGGCCACTGAAAAATGTCAATCTTCCGCTTAAGAATCATCAGCTTTGCTGCCGTGTCGCGACCTCACTTCCTTGCAGACCAGTGGAGCCCAGACAGAACCACATGCTTTTTCACTTGGGACATTTTGGGGGGCCAGAGCACGCAGAAGTTTGAGTGCTCTGGCCCCCCAAATCCAGGACTGTGCTCTCTTGCTCGCAGCGAAAGCGGAGAACGCCTGGCGCTTTTGTCATCCAGACCGCCTGAAGTGTTCGCATCTCCTGAGCATTTGTTCGATGCAGTGCTTCCGCCGTTGGAGCCAAAACAGCTTGCAGACCATCTCACAAGCCAACTGAAGGAGATATATCGCTCAGACTCAAGTCATTTGTAAAGGGTCAGACAAAGTGCTCCAAGTGACTAGCATAGACTGTCCATAGTGGCAGGTTCTTTGTTCACCTTGCTCTGCCTCTCACCTGAAGGAACTTCGTGGATTTGCCTCTCACCTGGCTCCATCTTTTGCGGCTATTCACCCTCGAAATTGACCAGAGAAGGGGCGGTGGTTGGATGATCGAGACTGCGAGGCTTCGCGGTATCGTGCAGATTTGAACAGCGACCCGACTATCAGAGTCCGCGGTGGCTTCTTTTTCACAGAATTTTGCTTGAAAATGCTTGAAATGTCCGATGAACACACAGATCTTTGGCCAAAATGTCGTTGAACCGACTCACTCACTCATGTCATGTGTCATCATGTGTCACTATATAGTCACTCACTTTTGGGGGGCTCACCTTTGAAACTTTAGGATGTCCTCGCCCTGCGGGTCGCCGAGACTCCTTGGGATCCGGGTCGCGGTGTCCGATGAAAAACGCTTAAACACCAGTGACACATGCCTGGCCATGGGAGAAGCTCCCTGAAGACATGGCAGACATGGCAGGCTTGAACCAGCAGCTATCTACCTCAAGAGAACACATCGAGCTTCCTGAGTTGCTTTTGTTCGCCGGGCGACGTCCTATCTGATTGCTGAACGACTGCGCCGCCAACCGGACATTGGGTTCGGCTGCCTAGGCTTGCGATGTGTTCGCTGAAAGGTTTGGCTGCCACGCGTTCGCAGCCACGCGTTCGCAGCCACGCGTTCACCTTTCCATTCAACTGGCTTTCCAGGATGGGTTGCAACGACATCTGAAGATCCTTCTTTGAGAAGCCAGAAATGCACAATGTCCATCACAGACTTTACTTGAAGCATGAGGTATGCAGGAGGAAAAGTTCAAGGAATTGCGGCACATTGACGTCCCTGCACATCATGACGAGCGTTTGAACTTGTATATGACCCCAAGGGTCCAGGTCCATCCGATTCGGATATCCTTCGGCCCTAGTTCGGCTCAGGAAGTACGTACTCACCTCCAAGACCATCTGAAAAGGAGGTACCTGGACCCTATAGACAAACGATAACAAATTAGAGTTTTTAGATATTTAGATTGTGCGCTTATGCCTCCGGCTCGAAATGGTCTCCGGCTTCAGTGTGGGAAGAGCCGAGAGTGGGAATCTCGCAGGATTCCCAGCGGGTGGGAGTGGCGTAAGGACAAGACCGGAGACATTTGATTTTGGGTGGCTACCAAACATGTTGTGCATCCGGCCCTTTTAGTCAAAGATGGAATTCCTCGGAATATAGGGTTTGTTTCAAGGTTTGTGTTTGGTCTTTGTTCAATAGAAAGTTGATAGAATATGGCTTTCATATGGGTACAGTTTTTTTTTGCGTTATGTTTTTTGCCCATACATCTAATCCCGAGTACCTATTAATAAACACTCTCCAAATAAAAAAAAAATACACAACGTCCGAAGCCCTAAATTCGGCTTATATGTGTTTTTAAATTACCGCCCTTTCAAACCGCTACTAAACTAGCAACATGGTCGATTTTGGGGGTAGTTTTTTCTTTTTAATTAAAGGTTCCCCCAAAACTCCCTCGTGACATGCCGCGTTTACACCAGCCGGTTTTCCTTCCTCCAATGGCACGGACTCACGCAAACGCACTTGCCTCCGAGGTCGTGCAAAACCGCATGGCACAGCGACATCACCTTTCGAAAGCTTTGGTTGTTAGTCTAATGAAGAACCAGTATTCTAATAAAGGTTTTTGTAGGGGAAAAGGAAGACCCTTCGATCTGGAAGTTTTTTGAATTTTTGATACGAGTTTAATAAAGGATTTTATATATAGAACTTGGATGACTTTTTGGTTTTGAAGCTCTTCCCAGGTGACCCTATTTATTTTGGACCCCCCCGATTTCAGGGACCCCCTAATCGAAAAAATGAGACCGAGTTTCTCTTATTAGGGGGGGCCGTGTTTATTAATAGGTGGGAGGTATTAAGTACGCTCATTCCAAACGGGAAATTCTGTCCAAATACGGCCTTCACAGAATCAAACATGTTCATATATACACGTTTCATCAAACAAACATATCACAAATATACAGAAATCGTCCAAAGGCGGACATTCTGCCTATTTGGAAGCTGGTATGGCAAACATGCTCAGATCCCCTAACCATGTCTCAGTCATGTGTTTTTGATCCGGCTTGGGGCCCACCAACCACGTCCATTTCGCGTTCCGGCTTCTCACCACTTACCGGACATCACCAACGGATGCCAGGGTGGATAGGGATAAGGCCGGGACGACGTAGACGGTGGATGAAAAACGCTTTCCACACAGCACTGGAGCACCGGACCCGTGAGGTGGCGATGGAGGCGATGGAGGCGAGAGCTTTGGAAAGGGCGTCACACGTCCCGGATCGCAGCTGCTCAGTCACCCTGTGTCTTCGAGGCTGCGATCTGCTAGGTATACCGCTCGACCTGTGAAAGTACCTTTTGACCAATACGCCCCACTCAGTCACAGGCTGTGGTTGTTCCTATAAACAGCTGTCATGTCATGTCCCACGTTTTCCAGGACGGATCGTTGGCTGGGCGTAGCATCCACGAGGCGGGGTACGTAGGGCGTAGCATCCACCGCTGGTGTGCAGAGGGGTCCGGCTAGCATGATGTTAGCTTCACCAATAGGCCCGGTCCCGGGAGAATTTCGCACAAAAATGCAGACATCAGACTCATGTGTCCTTCCTCTGCAGAAACTGGTCTTGGCACGGTTCGACACTGTGAAGACTGTTTTGGGACAGCGCCACATCATCATCTCCGATAGTGTCCCAGTGGCTATGGGCGATATATGGGTGTTTCATCCGGTTTTTCTATTGTATGTACCTGAAAATACACCCGTTTCACAGTATTTACTTGGAGAGCCTAACTTCTAGGGTCCAGGCGTCTCCACTTGTTCTTGCCAGTCTCCGACCCCAACGGTCCCGAAAACCTCCCGCGTCCGCGACCCGAGTGGCATGGACAATCCTATTGACATGCTGTGCAGAACGGACCTTCAGATCGGACGCATGTTACGTCAGAAATCCCCCTACACCGACAGGTGTCAAGTGAGAAGTTTGATCGGATCCGCAAGGTGATCGGAACAGAGGTTGAAAACAACATTGAACAGTTTTGTTGTTTACAATATATGATAATTCAATCATGAATCAAGATTAACATGTGAGCCAGCTTCCCAGGTCAAGAAGTGAACCCCTCTTAAGCTTCAGAGTGTTTCATTTCTTTTTGGCTGTCATTGTCCAGGTGAAGGATTTGAGTGTGTCAGAGCAACTCTACCTCTACGAGCGCACCAGACGCTTCAAGGAGTGTCGAGAGTGTTTTTCTCGGAGGTTGTTGTGACAGCAGCCGGTCGAAGGGGGGAGCAGTGATGGTTGTTTGTCCTAGACCTCCAACCACATCCTCACAAGATGGGGACTGATCTCCCAAAACCCAGCAGAACAGGTGCTCTAGGTCTCAGAGCAGTTTAGAAACTTTGCACAGTATTTGTAGTGCTTTTGTTGAAGGGTTTCGGCAGCCACCTTCGAAACGGTGATGCTGTTGGAGCCCGGTGGGCGGTGACGGTGGTGATGCTGTTGGAATCCGAACGGAAGATCACATGGACAACGCACAGGTCGTTGGGCGAGGACTCAGCATGCCGGTGCGCATGGCGCATGGCATTGTAACAGCGACTTAGTGACTAAGTGACCTAAGTCACCTGGGATCTCAAAAGGTCACTTTGAAGGTCCTGGAAGGTGTTTTGTCGTAAAACAAACACTGTTTTCTTATGAGCAATTTGCAATTTGTCACCGAAGGGTCTTGACACATGTCTCCAAGCCAAGGGTGTTGTTCTTCCAGCTCAAGTAGTAGGTGGTCGTGAAAGACTGCAATCTGCCATGGCCAGCGGAGCCTGTGGCAGCTTTGTTACGCATTGCGCAGTGCTACTGAGTCTGGGACTTGATAACAGCTAGAGCTAGGTGAGTTGACCGATCGACCTCATAAGGTCCATCTAGTTCCTGAGGATCCCAGCGGCCGCGACAAGCCCATGCTGCGAATCAATCATTGGATCTCCACGACACGACTTGGAGGCCTCAAAAGCATCGAAAGGGCCTGGATAGGTCTAGCAATAGGTTCAAGAGAGCCTCGGATCATTTGGGGATCCACTCATCGACCTTTTCCACGTTCTGTTTGCACTCTAGCATGACCTGACGCAAAATCAGGCCCCATGTTGAAAGGTACTGAGACTCTATAGGTGGTTGTTTTGAATTTTTCTGTAGACAAGATCTCCTCCTTCAGGGCGTATCCCATTTCTTCATTTCGACATAGGTCTGGCATATATTGGCTCTCTGAGGTTACCTCCCATTTCGGGAGGTAGCTGCCACTGATTTTCGGGGTCCTCAGCTTGGTTTTCGAAAGCAAATCCATTTGCCAGTTCGAGCAGATCTGAGAGTTGATCTGAGAAGGTACGACTGGATCCCCTCGAGGTGGGCAGAGGTTGACGGTTGACTCCAGGTACCTCCAAGAAACGAGAAGAGGGTCGACTCCAGGTCGAACGGATCGAGAACCTTGGGGCCAGGACCTAGAAACGGATGGAGTGGACCCTTGGGTTGAGGTCAATGTCTGAGTCTCCAGGTAGATCTGAGAGGTTTCGGGGGTCGGTTCGATGTGCTGAGCGACCTGAGAGACCACGGCCCAGGAGTTGTTTCTGGATCCCTAGTGGTGCAGAGAACCTGGCGCAGATTAGCCACTTGGGCGACATGAGGAAAAAACACCAGAGTGTTGGATCCGGACGAAGTGCCAGTGCCCTGGTGAACATCCCCACGGACTGGTGAATGGTGAAGATATCCAGATCTTCAAACGATTCAGAATGGCATGAGGAGGTGAAGACATATATGACAACATCTTCAAGCAGCACCGTAATGGCAGTTTTTTGTCCTGAAAAGACTATACTGCTTGTGTCGTTTCGAAGATCAAGGTATATGATGTATATATATATATATATATATATGATGAAGATATTTGCAACCAGTCCACATGATTCTCCCTGGTGGTGCTTTGGTCCCGTCCTGGTAAACTCATGAAAACATGTTTGAAAGACATCAAAGACATCCAAAGAAACTCACTTCATCTCACTTCCATAAATACTACACGATTACCAAAAGAAACACAGTTGATTTATGTTGAGTGGCAACAATAAAAACACGAAGAAAAATCATCAAGTTTCCATGATTCATATACCCTAGGGCTCCAACCATATCCTCAGGTTCGGTGGTTAGACCCCCTGGCACCCACCCCAACCATCTTCTCAGGAGGTGGTTGGAGTCCTAGGGTGAATTGGATTTCTGTGGGTCCTATGGGCCCTGAGCTCTTCACCATCTCCACTGAAGCCACGAAGCCTCACGAAGCCACAGACCAGGTGACCTCTTTCAGAAGGCCAAAGAAGAGAAGAAGCTGACCTTGCTGATGCACGGCCAAGATGGAAAAGGTGTGGACGGAACTCATAGAACATGACCGAATAGGCCCCAAAATAAACACAAATAGCAGATAGAAAAGTGGATTCCCACTAAAAATGTATTGGAAAGAGTTTCTATCTATTTGGGACCCCTATAGGCATGCTTTGGATGCTCAAGATGTTGTCTCTCCAAGCTGTGGATGAATCGGTGACTTGTCATGATATCCAGGCCTTTTTTTGACTACCTTCGAAAGTGACCTCTTTAGGGGCTACATGGCCTCACTCTGGATCTCAAGGACGGTCACTTTTGAAGCTTCAAAAGGTTCTAGCTGTCTTGCCAGCCTGAATATGTCAAATGCTATAAGAGCCTCGAGTAGGTGTTCTTCTGGAGGGCTCCCCCAAAAGCCGCCCACAGGCCCAGCCAACTTCGACCATGTTGAATCAATTACCCAATGACCATCCTGGACACTTCGAAAGCGGAAACCCGCGATCACTTCAGGTCAGGAAGCTGGTGCTTGGGCCGATTTGCACATAGAATTCTGGGAGATTCCCCTTGATTCTCACTTTAGGAAAGCCTGGTCCCGCCGACCGTTCGTCCCGGAGCTGGGACATGACTCCAGGTATAATATTGAGACTGCCCCAAAATATGTCCCCGTCCAGGGGCCCTACATGGCCCCACACTCATTTTGCCTTTTGGTTTTGCTGCCTTGCTCACTTTGGACTTCTTCCTCGGGAGCGATCCGTCGAATTTCCTCGGAACATGGGTACTTGATACAGTGCAGACGTGCTTGTTTGATCTTGTTTGTATTCATGGTCAGTAATGAAACTGTTCAACAGAAAAGGTATGGATGGGGTCATGTCTCATGATTTTCTAGGGTCATTACGAGGGAAGTTCGGTCCAGGTATCTTCAATGGAAGAGTTTGATGCTCCAAGTCTAGGCAAGTAAAATTCCCAAGCAGAGTGCCTGGCCAAAAGTGTCAGCCATAGTAAGTCTGTTCTGTCGTTTCAAGAGAATTCACTTGATTGCCAAGCAAAACTCCAAATAAAGCTTCAGTTGCAACTGGCTCACAGGTTACTTGTTCAATGCTCCAATGCTCCGAATGCTCCGCTGGCACCACCCGTGTCGTTCTGTCGTGTCTTCAGTTGTCAGGAACGTGGAGGAGACGGTGCAAGCCCCACCGGCTGTGGCTGGCGAACGGGATCGAGTGACCTGTAGAGGCTGCGATTGCTATCACCAGTGGATGGGAGACCTGGCAATCGACTGGCACAGGGAGGGCTGGGGCAGGGCAGCGAGCTGGAACGTCCCTATTTGGGGACTGGAAGAGTTCTGAGCCATCAGAGCCTCCTATTTGGGGGTGGTTAAATTCATGGACCCCCCGAATCACGCTCCTCATAGACTACATTCAACCCACTTATGATCAATCCATCTTATTCACATGGAGTGGCTTGGCTTGGCTCCCTCCAAAAACAGGCGGGAGGCTCAGAACATCTCGAAACCATGTCCATTGCAAAGGCCAAGTAGCAAAAGCGAATTCTCGGAGGGACTCCTGACTCCTAATGCCCTAGCATCCAGATACCGATTGAAAAGGTGCTTCGACCCTCCAAGCCTATACATAAAAAGAGTCTCCAAAAATCTTGAGAAGAGTGTAATTAATGTGGATCCCTATAGACCTAGCCTATAGGGATGTCGGATTCATCACCCCCCCCGAATGTGCCCAGCTTCTTCGTGACTCGTGACCAATGGAGTCCCATCTTTCGTGACCTGACGGAAGAACCGGGCCCCTCGTCAGAGGGCTTGACACTCCAAATGGGGAAGGGTTGATTGATCAACCGGCATGGTTTCTCAAAGTAGAAAATAAAGAACAGGTACCAGCACCTGGGTTTATGGGGGGTCATGTCCCATTAGCTCAGGTGCTTGAAGTCGGGTCCAGGTGGTTCTTCCGTTCGTGACCTTTTTGAGATCCCATATATGGAGTGTTTGGGCTTGGAGGGGAAGTGAATTACTCAGGACAAGCTGTGGAAGGGTGATGTTGTTGTCACATCTTGTAGGGTGCAAAATGGAGGGTGCAGGTATTTCCTCCCGCTGACATGTGACATCGTCTTGGTGTTTTGTATAAACTATACAAAACCACTAAATGGATCTAATTGCTGTTCTTGTTCTTTCTTCGGCCCAGTTTCCCAAGGACAAGACTATGCAGGCCATTTGGGCCACGGGTTCCCAGAACCGTGGCCCTTGGACCTGGACCTGGACCTGACGAAAAGAGCCGGAGCAGACCGGATCCTCCAGGAAGGGCCCATTGGTTTGCATGGACCTGTCGGCGAAATCCAAGCTCTGAATGGGTTTCCTCCGATGGTTAAAGCATGTTAAAAACATATCAAGGGAAAACCATGTGGAGACACTGCTCAAAAAAGACCAATTGCATCGGCCGCCGCACAAAAAGGGCCGCCTCTTCGGTCCCCTTTTTGCACTTCATAACCCAGACACGACCTGTTTGGGACCTGCCAGTCCGGACTACGAAATGGCCAGGGGTGGTTGAAGTTGGGGTCAATGGGGCGGCATATATGGTTATGGACCATGGCCGCCTCTTTGGGTGAAAATGGTAACTGAGAGTATAGAAAAGATCTCGGATGGTTGGAATTGGAGACCAGTGGAGACATGTGGAGACATCATGGCTCACTCAGAGTGATCATCATGCTTTGGAGCCGATCTTCCTTCCGAAACAAGAGCTCTTTTTTACGGAGAAACTCCATGGGTTTGAATCATGTGGTTGACTCCATCAACGTGTTTTTCTTCCTGGAGCTCGGTTTGGACCTGAACGAAGATGGGACATGATCCTATATACTATACATTACTATACCCTATAGGATTCCTGT